ACTGACCCCTGAGCTCTGCTGGGCTACGGCCGCCAGCTGCGCTCAGTGGTGACCGGTGAGTGACCCCTGACCTCTGACCCCTGAGTGACCTGTGACCCCTGAGTGACCCCTGACCTGTAACTGACCACTGACCCCTCACTGACCCCTGAGCTCTGCTGGGCTACGGCCGCCAGCTGCGCTCAGTGGTGACCGGTGAGTGACCCCTGAGTGACCTCTGACCCCTGAGTGACCCCTGAGTGATCCCTGACCCCTGACCCCTGAGTGACCTCTGACCCCTGAGTGACCACTGACCCCTGACCTGTAACTGACCCCTGAGTGACCCCTGACCCCTGAGTGACCCCTGAGTGACCACTGACCCCTGAGTGACCCCTGACCTGTAACTGACCCCTGACCTCTGACCCCTGAGTGACCACCAACCCCTGAGTGACCCCTGAGTGACCCCTGACCTGTAACTGACCCCTGAGTGACCCCTGACTGCCCCACGGAGCCCCACGGACCCCAGAGACCCCAAAAACCCCAAAATCCCCCCAAAAAAACCCTAAAATCCCCCAAAAAACCCCCAAATCCCCCAAAACCCCCAAAACCCCCCAAATCCCACAAATCCCACAAATCCCTGGAATTCCAGGAATCGAGACGTTCCACAAGAGCCTGGAGGTGGCCGAGGCCGGGGACAACCTCAGGGCGCTGCTGCCCCACAGAGCCCCAAAAACCCCCCAAAAAAACCCCAAAACCCCCAAAAAAACCTCCAAAATTCCCCAAAATCCCACAAAATCCCTCAAAATCCCACAAATTCCCACAAAATCCCACAAATCCTGCAGGAATTGAGACGTTCCACAAGAGCCTGGAGGTGGCCGAGGCCGGGGACAACCTCGGGGCTCTGCTGCCCCACAGAGCCCCAAAAACCCCCAAGAAAACCCCAAAAAACCCCAAAAAAACCCCCCCAAAAAAACCCCAAAAACCCCCAAAATCCCACAAAATCCCTCAAAATCCCACAAAATCCCACAAATCCCACAAATCCTGCAGGAATCGAGACGTTCCACAAGAGCCTGGAGGTGGCCAAGGCCGGGGACAACCTCGGGGCGCTGCTGCCCCACAGAGCCCCAAAAAACCCCTAAAAAACCTCCAAAAAACCCCAAAATCCCACAAAATCCCCCAAAATCCCCCAATTCCCGGGAATTCCAGGGATCGAGACGTTCCACAAGAGCCTGGAGGTGGCCGAGGCCGGGGACAACCTGGGCGCGCTGCTCCACAGAGCCCCAAAAACCCCAAAAAAACCCAAAAAAACCCCCAAAAAAACCCCAAAACCACCCCAAAATCCCACAAAATCCCACAAAATCCCACCAATCCTGCAGGAATTGAGACGTTCCACAAGAGCCTGGAGGTGGCCGAGGCCGGGGACAACCTCGGCGCGCTGCTCCGGGGGCTGCGGCGCGAGGACGTGCGCCGGGGGATGGTGCTGGCCCAGCCCGGCTCCCTGCAGCCCCAGCAGAAGGTGGAGGCACAGGTGGGATTGGGATTGGGGATTTGGGG